TATGACACCTGATGATGAAGACACAGCAAAAACCGCAGCAGCCTGTAAAAACAAAACACACAAAGTAAAACGCAGGGGGGGGAAATTCAGTCCCAGCTTTATTCTTTCCTTCATAAAAAGGAGAAAATGACAAGGCCTGCAGTGTTGTGTGTGAGTCATCCTGTTAGAGAGCAACCTTTACAGCCTCTGCCAGGATCGTAGAAAACACACACACACACACAAAGCCATGTACAATCTGTTATCATGCTCAATAAGTGGGACTCACCATCAGTCACTAATGTATCTTAGATAATGTGTCTTGCTTGAATTTATAACTTGAGCCTGTGCTTGACAGTATTCTTTGGGTGGCTGTGGATGGTCGGTCAATGATCGAAGGTCGGCGGTTCGATTCCTCCCTGTAACCTGAGTCATGGTCGTTGTGTCCTTGGGTAAGACACTTCACCCACCTTGCCTGGTGTGAGTGTGAATGAATGGATTGTTTGAGGTGGTGGTCGGAGGGGCTGTAGGTGCAGAATGGCAGCCACGCTTCTGTCAGTTTGCCCCAGGGCAGCTGTGGCTACAATCGTTGCTACCACCGTAATAGAATGGATGTGTGTGAACGAATAACTGACAGTGTACAGTGTCTTTGAGTGTCTAGAAAAGCGCTATATAAACCTGATAAATTATTATTATTATTATTATTAAAATGGTTGTGTTAGGAAGAATCATGCTTAGGTAGCCAAAATGAATAACTTTTGTCAAATTCTAGTCTTCACAAAAACTTTGATTTGATTTCAATGAAAATTTTGCCAATTTATGCTATTTTATGGGCAAAGGTTTTATTGGCAAAGATTGAAATTTTCTATTTTATATTAGTGTACAATATTTATTACAATATTTATCACAAGATTGTGTTTGTTACATAAAAAAGAGAATTTGTTTTTTTTTTTTTTTTAAAGAAAAACACATTTATATGTACAAACATGTTGTGTACAGTACTGAAATGCTCATATTTCAGTGGTGCAAAACAAATGGAAATGTAGGTATGCGATTGTGTGACTCATGATTATGGGTTTTGATTTTCAGTTTTGTTTTCACCTCTTGTGTGTTTCTCTTTGTCTATGTATCCATGTTCCTTTTTCAGTTACTTACCCTGTGTGTCTTTGATGCTTGTACTTCCTCCCTTTGTGTGTTTTCCCACCTTTTTGATTGCTGCCTCCATCCTGATCTGGTTTACCTGCATCTCATCTCCCAATCAGCCCCTTTGACATACATCCATCCATCCATCATCTATACACCGCTTAATCCTCACTAGGGTCATGGGGGGCTGGAGTCTATCCCAGCTGACTTAGGGTGAAGGCAGGGGACACCCTGGACAGGTCACCAGTCTATCACAGGGCTGCACTTAGAGACAGACAACCAAGCACACTCACATTCACACCTACAGACAATTTAGAATCACCAATTAACCTCAACATGTTTTTGGACCGTGTGGGAGGAAGCCGGAGAACCCACACTGCACGGGGAGAACATGCAAACTCCACGCAGAAAGATCCAGGGTGTCCTCACCGAGACGTAAACCAGTGACCATCTTGCTGCGAGGCAACAGTGCTAACCACTGATCCACCTTGCAGCCCTCATACATAAAGTACAGCACAATAAAAATATACATTATATATAATGTTTCTTCCTTTTCTTTCCTTTTCATATTTTGGCTTCAGTACTAAAACTCTAATTTTGTGTCATGTTGTATAGTTTGGCTTTGTCAGATCATCTCCTGTCTGTCTCTGTTTGTCTCTACATACTCGGTCTATTTTCAGTTCCTTACCCTGTGTGTCTCTGATGCTTATGCTTCCTCCCTTTGTGTGTTTTCCTGAAAGAAAACTGTCATCGAGGTATGAGATTGCATGACTGTCACGGTTTTGAGTTTTCGTGTTTACTTTTGTTTTGTCAGATCACCTCTTGTGTGTGTCTGTTTGTCTCTGTATACATACCACATCCCTTTTCAGTTCCTTACCCTGTGTGTCTGTGATGCTTGTGCTTCCTCCCTTTATGGGCTTTGCCTCTGTTTTGATTGCTGCCTCGGCCCTGATCTTTCTCACCTGTTTCTCGCCTCCCAAGTCGCCCGAATGTGACTACATATATTAATATATTTAGTCTTGTTTTGTTTATCTGCTTACCTTCCTAAATGTGACCTTCTGTTAAGTTAGTCTTTTGACCCGTTCTGTTGTTGATCAGGTTCTGTCTTTCGACTGGTCCTCATGCTTTTGCTGCTTTTTTGATCTGTCTGCGTTTCCTTACTTTTAATCAGCTTCAGCAATCAAAGCTCGCCTTCTGTTTTTGTAACCTGCCAACTGTGTCTGTATTTTAGTCCTTCTCTGACGTCTCACATAATATGTTTTATGTGTAAAGACAAAAAGCTGAGGTCATATCTGTAAATGCATTGTGATTAGCAATAGAACAATGCAAGAGGCTGCCTGTAGCCTTCACTGTTGTCAAGATTTACAAAAAGACTGAAAAGAATCAGAGTTACACAGACATTGAGGCAACAAAATCATCCCTGATCAGCTCCTCGGTCGATCACATACAACGTCTCTCACAGAAAATACCAAAACTGTGTCATAAAAAAGAGGGAATTAAGTGAGATTATATGAGAGAAAATATGAGAAATGCCTTCAAAAAGTGGAACTGAAAAATTGTAATCTGTACTGCAATGAATCCTAAGACAAGCAGGAGTATAGGTATAATAAGGTATTGATCAGATGATTGGTGTTGAATTAATTATAAACTCACTCCTTGGATGATTCCTTAAAAAATCAAGTAAGGCCATCTTGTATATATGTGAGTGAGAGAAACGACTGATTAGAAGATCAGCGTCTTGCAGACAGAAGTAGCATTGCATAAACTGTAAAGTCGCACAAAAGCTGGCTCCCAAACATGTTTATTTCCAGGTCCCGAAAGAGCACTGCTCACCCTACAGCTTGATAAATAAGTGAAAAAAAAAAAAAAGCCCACAAGGCATGTCGGCCCACCAGAAAGTACCCGCTCTGCCAGATGGCCAGTTCAGCTCTGCATCCTGTGAAAACACTTGTATATTTCTACCAGAGATACATTTTTTTATTTTCTCTTCAACAGAAAGTCTGTTGCAAACTGGAGCTGGAGTTGTAGGTTGCAGCATTTTTGAGCTTCGCTAAAAGTCAGGCTGTCGCTGCCCTTGCTGGTTTGTTCATTTTAAATTCACTCAAACATACAGAAGGACAATAAGAAAGTCATTTTAAACCCCTAAAACCTCATGTCTGTGTATCAGAGTTACATATATGGAGGTTATTTCCACGATAATTCCTATTCTACCCTAAAATGGCTTCATGTAGCTGTGTGTGTGTGAAGTCCCTGGTCTCTCCACCCTTCCCCATTCGCTGCAGCTGGAGCACACCAGCTCACCTACGACTCTGCTCAAACACTCTAAAACTACTCTATGCTACACACGAGCAAGTTGTAATGTTGGACTAATTCAACCATACATGTCTGAACTGATTCTGAAGATGAATAACATTTTGCAAGTTGACTGGATTGTTTCTTAGATTCATGATGCTTTGAGACTGTCTTCTGTACACTGCAGTGTAAACGAGGAAATGCTCAGCCAGGGTGTCGACTGCTTCCTTTGCTCATGATGTGCTTTCAAGCATATAAGAAACACCATATGGACACTACATTTTCACTGCAGTGGGTCTTTAAAAAGTGTTTAAGACACATCCTCTGGGTTATCATAGTGCTTAAATGGGCAACCAGTGCAGTGTAACAGTCCTGAAGGATAAAGTGTGTGTTGATGGTATCATAACAAGCAATTTTTTGTTTTCTTCTTCCTATTTTTATCATCGGATACATTTCTTTAACTTTATTTATTTTATTGTTAAACC